TGATGTATGCTGATGACTCTAGTGTGCTTCCAACTTATTACTCACTGTTGCCTAGTGTAGGTGTGCCTAGCGTAGCCTCCCCTGCTGCGTCAGGCATAGGATCCTCTGCTTTGTGTAGTCTTGGTGCTCCTGCCGTCGTTCCGTCGCCAGACGCCTCTGCTTCGCTTTCCTTCACCTTGGACTCTGGCGCTTCTCGGTGTTTCTTCCGCGACTCCACCACCCTGACGCCGCTTCCTGTTCCTGCTGCCGTTTCTCTTGCTGACCCCTCTGGTGGTCCGGTAGTCGCCTGCAGTTCCACCACCCTTCCCTGTCCGGCGGTTCCTTCGGGCTCTCTCACAGGTCTGCATATCCCCTCGTTCTCCAGGAACCTAGTTGGTGTCGGCTGCCTCCAGGACCTTGGCGTCACCACTACGTTCCCTGGCCACGAGCGGTATGCTGTCTGTACCGAGGCCGCCACCGGTGCCCCCCTGTCCACGTTCCCCCGGGACCCGGTGTCCGGCCTTTTCACTCTGGACACCGTGACCCCCCCGGCTGGAGCGCTCACCCAGGTTGCTGCCGCCTGCTCCTGTCGGTCCCTCACTCACCCGACCCTCCTTTGGCACCACTGCCTAGGTCACCCTGCGCTCCCGCGCCTGCGTCACATGTCCCAGCACGGTCTTGTCCTTGGTCTCCCAGGTTCTCTCCCCGCGTTTCCCTCCTCCCCAGCCCCACCTTGCATGCCTTGTGTCGAGGGTCGGCTTCGCCGTGCCCCTCACTCCTCCTCGCTTCCCCCTACCGCCGCGCCGCTGCAGACCCTGCACCTGGACGTCTGGGGCCCCGCCCCCGTCCCTGGGCCGCGTCGAGAGCGCTACTTCCTTGTGCTTGTCGACGACTTCACTCGTTACACCACAGTCTTTCCCCTGGAGCGCAAGGCCGACGTGCCTGGCGCTCTCATCCCCTGACTTGTCTCTGCGCGTGTCCACCGCGGTCTCCCTGTCTTGCGTCTTCACTCCGACCGTGGTGGCGAGTTTGCCTCAGGTGTCCTTGGTCGCTTTTGTCGTGCAGAGGGCATCACCCAGACGTTCACCCTACCGGACTCCCCACAGCAGAATGGGGTCGCTAAGCGACGCATCGGTTTGGTCATGGAGGTGGCTCGCACCTCCATGATCCATGCCGGTGCACCCCATTTTCTGTGGTCGTTCGCTGTGCGCTACGCTTCTCACCAGCTTAACTTGTGGCCGCACCCTCAGCAGCCGCAGGTTTCACCGACCAGTCTTTGGACTGGGTCTCCTGGTGACGCGTCTGCGTTCCACGTCTGGGGCTGCCTTGCTCACGTCCGTGCATCCGGCACGGACAAGCTCACTGCCCGCACCCTTCCCTGCGTCTTCCTCGGTTTTCCTCTTGACGCGTCCGACTGGCTCTTTTATCACCCGCCGTCTCACCGCTTCTTTCACTCTCGTGACGTCACCTTTGACGAGTCCGTCCCCTACTACCGTCGCTTCCCCCACCGTGGTCCCCCGGTTACCCCCCCCTGTTCCTGGTCACTCCTTCCCCGGTAGTCCCTGCCCCTCCTCCTCCTCCTCCCCGTCCCGCCCCCTCGGGTGTGTCCCACGTCACCCCCCTTCCGTCGGAGGACCCGGTTGAGGAGTCTTCTGACTCTGGTGGCCCTCCTGTGCAATCCTCGCCGGCCGCCCCTCCCCCGGCGTCCCCTCCCCAGTCCCCTCCTCCACCGCCTCTGCCGCCGCTGCAACCGTCGTTGTCGCTGCCGCCGCAGCCGCCGCTGCCGTCGCAGCCCCCGTTCGCTGACTCTGGGGGTGCTGGTGTAGAGAGTGCCGGTGGTAGCCGAGGAGCTTGCGGTCCAGGTGTCGCCGTTGTGCCGCCGCAGCAGCAGTCCCCGCCGGTGTCAGCCCTTCGCCTGCTCGGCCTTCCGTCCCCCGACCCTGCGTCTGTTCCTCCTCGCCCGTCTCCTCCTCTTCCTGTCTACGGCCCTGTTTTCCCTCCGCGGGACTCGTCCCCGGCCTGCCTCCCCCCTCGTTCCCCTCCTGTGTCCCCTCCCCTGTCCCCTGACCCGACTCCTCCGTCGCACGTCTGGTCTCACCGTCCCTCCCATGCTCGTCCTGCCTCGCCTGTCTTGCGCTCCCACCCTATGTTGCTTTGTTCCCACGCGTCTCGTCCTCCCCTTCTGCCGTCGCCTCCTCCGTCCTCCCTTGTTGTTGCACCCCCCCCGCTGTCTGACTACCTTCGTGCCACTCGTCTCCTTGTTCCTCGGGTCCTTGCTTCTCTCGTTACCGACCCGTCTGTTCCGGTCTCGTGCCTTGACGCTCTTGTCGCTGCTGTCGCTGACTTCGCCTCTACCCGCCGCCTTGACTACGCCACAGCTCTGGTCTCTGACCCTGCCTGTCCTCCGTCTGTCGGGGTTGCTCCTGCCCTTGGCAATGACGTCCTGGAGGACCGCCAGTTCGAGCTTGCTTTCCTCTCCGAGGCTGCTCCCCATCTCTGTTCCATGCTGCTAGTCCCTGAGGGTGACCCAGACGCTTTCGACATCCCGACCCCTTGCACTTACGCTGAGGCGACCTCGGGACCTTGGGCCTCTCAGTGGATAGCTGCCATGGAGCAGGAGATGGCATCTTGGAGATCCACCGGCACTTTCGTCGACGCAGTTCCGCCGGCTGGGGTGAACGTAGTCGATGGCCGCTGGCTCTTCAAGGTGAAGCGCCCTCCTGGAGAGCCGCCTGTCTTCAAGGCGCGCTATGTGGCTAGAGGCTTCAGCCAGCGCGAGGGGGTGGACTTCTTCCAGACCTTCGCTCCGACCCCGAAGATGACTACTCTTCGGGTTCTGTTACACCTAGCTGCGTAGCGTGACTACGAGCTTCACTCCCTCGACTTCTCCACTGCCTTCCTTCAGGGCAGCCTACACGAGCAGGTCTACTTGCGTCGCCCTCAGGGCTTTACTGGCACCTTCCCTCCTGGGACCCAGTGGCTCCTGCGGCGCCCCGTCTACGGCCTGTGCCAGGCTCCCCGTGAGTGGCACGACACTCTCCGCACTACGCTTGCTGACCTGCAGTTCTTTCCGTCTTCCGCAGACCCTTCACTCTTCGTTCGTGCTGGCCAGACTCCGTTCTACATCCTTGTTTACGTCGACGACCTGGTCTTTGCCACAGCAGACAGGGACGCACTGGCCTCCGTGAAGGCAGAGCTGCTGAAGAGACACACGTGCACTGACCTTGGAGAACTGCGCCGCTACCTTGGCTTGCAGATCTCTAGGGACAGAGCATCGCGCACCATCACCCTGACTCAGTCACACTTGGTGCGCCAGATCCTTCAGAGGTTCAGCCTTCAGTTCTCCTCTGCACAGCCCACCCCTCTGCCTGTAGACCACAGACTCTCCGCTCCAGTGTCTGAGGAGTTGGTAGAGCCCAGCGGCCCCTACGCAGAGCTGGTGGGTTGCCTCATGTACCTGATGACTTGCACTCGCCCAGATCTCGCATACCCTCTCAGCATCCTGGCTCGCTGTGTGGCCACAGGCAGACACCGACCGCAGCACTGGTCTGCCGCTAAGAGGGTTCTGCGTTATCTTGCTAGTACATCGGGCATGGGGTTAGCTTGGTCTAGTTCCTGTAGCCTCTCACTTGCTAGGACCTTGACTTTGTACTGTCCTTTATATGTATACTCAGACTGGACTTGTGTCCTCTCCCAGTGGCTGGACTAGTAGTGCCGCCCTGCTCTTGTTCTTGCCTTGTCTGTACCCCTTCTGACTGGTCTCTCAGACCCTTGTCTCAGAGGTTGGACTAGTAGTGCTGCCCTGAGCTGCTTGTTTAGGACATTCCCCTATGCAGTCTAGGGGGTGTGTCAAACATGTGTATTTGTCATGTTTGTATAAACTGGATAGGGTCACCTCTTAGAGGGTACAACACTTAGGTATATCTATGTGTACTCTCACTCTACCAATCATTCACTTCTCTAATTCTGATAATGGTACCAAGTAAAAGCACATCAAAAAGAGGATTTCTATGCACAACATATAAGTTGAAAAGCGGTGGAAGGCACAGGCCAAAATGAAACGACAGGTCATCACAGCAGTATGGCATTGCGAATGGACAGCAGCATTACGGATATGACAGCCACCTGCTCTCAGGAGTGGAGCGACACAAAAACAGAAGCGGAAGCAGGAAATAGAGCAAATGAGGGCCGGGAAGGCAAGGGAGGGAATCAGAAACTACTTGAAGCGAGGTTACAGGAGCGGAATATAAATTAGTTCTAATGGAAGGATGGATAACAGACACAAGGAGGCAGGTGGCGAGAAAGGGAAACATGAGAGTGGCCAGGGGAAAAGAGGGGGCGAATATGGGAAGCAAGGAGAGGGGGGGAGATGGAGGTGGGGAGCGAGCAAGAGAGAAAGAGAGGGGTGTTGGGGGAGGGGAGGCGAAAGGGGAGAGGGGTGCAGCGAAAGACAGGAGGTAGAAGTCACTGAAGGTCCAGTTTTCTTACGGTGATAGCCAAGGCAAACACCATGTGCCACACAATAGTGGTGGAGAGAGACGGTCGCCTCTCCCCTGCCAGAACTGCCACCTGCTTCCCCGGTTTGCAGAGAGAAATTATCTTCGCAAGGTTGTCTCGGGTGGCCTGGGCGTTTGGGTCCGCATCACGCACCTGTGCCAGTGTGGAGTGGGGCGAGGAGAAGGCATTGAGAGTCTTGGGGTGCATCACGATTAGGGTTTGCGTCATGCACCCTGTGCCAGTGTCGGGTGGGGCGAGGAGAGGAGATGTCAAGGAATGTGCAGTGCACAAGAAACAGGGCGAGATACAGTGGTGAAGGAATGTGGGAATGGCAGGGCGACGAGTGCACTCTTACCCTTGCCTGTGCAACAGCAACCCTTACATCCATCCAGAGCACGGCTTTATCACTGTGGCAACTGCCACCATACGCACACACCCACGCACATGCTGCACCATGCTTACCCTGTCACAGAGGCGCTTTAGGACATGCTAACGGAGCTGTGATGCTGACCTTGGCAAGGAGCTCCAACGCAAAGCCGTGATAGAACGAGCGCACATCCGCCATGCTCCATGTCTGGTCCATCACCCGCGCAGCCAGGCCTGGGGAGAGGGAGAGACGTGGTTGAGAGAGAGAGAGCGAGAGAGAGAGAGAGAGAGAGAGAGAGAGAGAGAGAGAGAGAGAGAGAGAGAGAGAGAGAGAGAGAGAGAGAGAGAGAGGGAAAGGTGCAGGGGTGGGAAGGAAAAGACAGGGTGTGAGGAGGTGGATCAACGCCACGCCCACCATGCTCCTGCTGCACGCCTGGTTCGCCGCCCGCACCGTCAGGCCTGGGGAGAGGGAGAGAACCAGTGAGAGAGAGAGAGAAGCTAAAAGTGTGCAGTGAGGGAGAAAACTGGAGAGTGGCTAAACATAAGGGATACAGCGTGGGGAAGGAGGCCAGTATGTGTGGTTGATGTTTAAGACTTGTCAAGAATCAGCTGATGTGTGGGCGGGTTGAGTTGAGAGCTCACCAAGTCTGGGCTTGACCTCTCGTTGAAAGACCTGGATGTTGTTGTAGCAGAGGGTAAGAGTTGCCATGGCCATGATCTGAGGGGCACGGAGACATGCACACTCACATACGTGCACACATGCACACTCACATACGTGCACACATGCACACTCACATACGTGCACACATGCACACTCACATACGTGCACACATGCACACTCACATACGTGCACACATGCACACTCACATACGTGCACACATGCACACTCACATACGTGCACACATGCACACTCACATACGTGCACACATGCACACACACATACGTGCACACATGCACACTCACATACGTGCACACATGCACACTCACATACGTGCACACATGCACACTCACATACGTGCACACATGCACACTCACATACGTGCACACATGCACACTCACATACGTGCACACATGCACACTCACATACGTGCACACATGCACACTCACATACGTGCACACATGCACACACACATACGTGCACACATGCACACTCACATACGTGCACACATGCACACTCACATACGTGCACACATGCACACACACATACGTGCACACATGCACACACACATACGTGCACACATGCACACACACATACGTGCACACATGCACACACACATACGTGCACACATGCACACACACATACGTGCACACATGCACACACACATACGTGCACACATGCACACACACATACGTGCACACATGCACACACACATACGTGCACACATGCACACACACATACGTGCACACATGCACACACACATACGTGCACACATGCACACACACATACGTGCACACATGCACACACACATACGTGCACACATGCACACACACATACGTGCACACATGCACACACACATACGTGCACACATGCACACACACATACGTGCACACATGCACACACACATACGTGCACACATGCACACACACATACGTGCACACATGCACACACACATACGTGCACACATGCACACACACATACGTGCACACATGCACACACACATACGTGCACACATGCACACACACATACGTGCACACATGCACACACACATACGTGCACACATGCACACACACATACGTGCACACATGCACACACACATACGTGCACACATGCACACACACATACGTGCACACATGCACACACACATACGTGCACACATGCACACACACATACGTGCACACATGCACACACACATACGTGCACACATGCACACTCACATACGTGCACACATGCACACACACATACGTGCACACATGCACACACACATACGTGCACACATGCACACACACATACGTGCACACATGCACACACACATACGTGCACACATGCACACTCACATACGTGCACACATGCACACACACATACGTGCACACATGCACACACACATACGTGCACACATGCACACTCACATACGTGCACACATGCACACACACATACGTGCACACATGCACACACACATACGTGCACACATGCACACACACATACGTGCACACATGCACACACACATACGTGCACACATGCACACACACATACGTGCACACATGCACACTCACATACGTGCACACATGCACACACACATACGTGCACACATGCACACACACATACGTGCACACATGCACACACACATACGTGCACACATGCACACACACATACGTGCACACATGCACACACACATACGTGCACACATGCACACTCACATACGTGCACACATGCACACACACATACGTGCACACATGCACACTCACATACGTGCACACATGCACACACACATACGTGCACACATGCACACACACATACGTGCACACATGCACACACACATACGTGCACACATGCACACACAAATACGTGCACACATGCACACACACATGCATGCACACATTCACACACACATACATGCACACATGTACACACACATACATGCACACATGCATACATGTACACATGCACACACACATACATGCACACATGCACACACACATACATGCACACATGCACACACACATACATGCACACATGCGCACACACATACATGCACACATGCGCACACATGCCACGTGCACAGGCCATGACGAAAAACAGAGCACACCATCGCACACACACAGGCGTCATGCCCCTATATCCGCACAGGCAAAGACACAGAGCAGATAGCAAGAATGATGGCATGGGCCACGCTACGTCTGGAGGCCCTTCTGACTTGCAGAGGTGCAAATCAAACCACCCACGGACAGTGGCGTCCATGCAGACACTATGCAACAATACTGCAGCACCAGGGGTCATTCAGTCACCCACAGGAGGCATTAATAACTTGGGGAATTGACGACTTGAGGATAACTTTACCTTGGAAAGACATTTTTACATGGAGAAGGCGCTACCTGGGCAAGGCGATACCTGGGGAATGGCCCAGAATCTGAAGATCTGGGCGTCGTGCACTTGAGCGAGGAAGCAGAGGCAGTCAGGGGCGTGCGAGAGGGCTGTGGTAACCATGTCGTTCAGGCACCTCACTGCCGCTGGCCCATTGGCACCCACATCCTTGAAGTCCTGGTGGGGGAGGGGAGGGGGGGGGGGGGTGAAGTGAATTGCAGTGGGGAAATGCGGTGGATGCATTTTGAGTTGATTCAAAATGCACGTTGGCAACATGGCACCCGCGTCCTTTAAGTCCCGGTGGACGGTAGATGTCAGGGTGGGCTGGGGGGGATGGGGACGGGAGGGGGAGCAGGGAGTAGGGAGGGATGTGAACAAGGTGGATGGATGGATGGGGGGATGTAGATCTAGAGACATGGATGCCATGCCACACGTGGTCGAGCATGGTGAGATTAGAATCAACCCAGTTTTGAGGCCCCGCAAAAGCCTAACAAAGGGAAATGAAAGAAGGGTTCCAGACGAAACGGAACCTTCTTTTTCCCATTCACATTCCCTCCTTCCCCCCTGCTTACTACCAGCATTTTCCCCACCGCCAATTCTTTACCCCTTGCCCCACTTAACCTCTCCCCCTCACCACTAGCTCCTGTGCTGCACGTATTTCCCCCAGTCAAATCGGGGCCACAACACGCCTGGTGCCTCAAAAGGTGTGCACTCCAACACACCTCACCTCTAGGCGCTGAGCGTATTTCCCCCAGACGGCTCTGGGCCAGAACATGCGGGGGGCGGGCTCCTCCTCTATGTCCTCCAGATAGTCCCGAATGATGTTCGTGTTCTGCGCCAAGGGGGATGCCATGCGGTGGTGTACATGGGGTGCCATGGGGCGATGTACATGGGACGTCTTGAGCCGACTCAAAACGGAGATACTATCACACGCATCATACAGTGAGAGAATGGTGTTGGTCTTCTGTGCCATGGGGGGGGGCATGGGGTGACGTACATGGGGTATGCACATGTGCAAGTGAGGTGGTGGAATGGGTTGCCGCTCTTCCTTGATGTTTTCCATGCAACCACGTGGCTACCAGGTGCAACATGCTGCATGATGCAAGCTGAACGCTGCCTGGTGCACGTGGTGCACACAGTGCGTGTGGTGCACATGGCGCACGTGGCACGTGGGCATGTGGAGCAAGCTGACCTGCAGGAAGAGCCCCATGGAGTTAGAGAGGCCCTCGTCAGCAGCGGGCTCCAGGCCCGAGTGCTGGAAGATGGCCGAGAGACCGATGCCCACCAGCCCCGCCACGTAGTGGCAGTACTCCTCGTACTGCTGCTCCGTCTCCACCTGGGGGGCGGGGGGGGGTAAGGGGGAAGAAGGGGAGGGTGGTAAGTTGTACCCATGAGGATGTGGCGGCAGTACTCCTCGTACTGCTGCGCCGTCTCCACCTGGGGTCGGGGGGGGGGGGGGGGGGGGAGGGGGGGGGTTGGTGTTGGGAGAGGGGAAGGAAGAAGAGAGGGTTGAGAAGTTGGGAGGGTGGTAAGATGCGCCATCGAAAAGCCACAGGTTGTGAGGGAGAGAAGCAAGAAAGCTGTGTGAGAAACGGTTCAGCAATAATCCACAGGTTCAATTGAACAGAACAACTCAGCGAGAGAAAGCAGCAGACTATGCAACAAAACGCCAATGCAGGTGACTGCATTGAAACAACGGCATCCAGCACGTGAACTTCTTCTAAGTCAATCCTAAAGGCATGGGCGCATGTAGCTGTAAGTGTGGCGGCTAAAGCTAACATGTCCTGGCATGTGGTACTAAAATTGCTCTCACATGCCCAGAGACTTCGTTTAGAATGCTAAAAAGCACCCTGCAGAGTCTTGGTACATTGAGTCACAGTCATGCAAATGGCAGCCCGAACATACCATACCAGGGCATGTCGTCATACCTCTGCCGTGATATACATTGCCATGCCCGCTCCCATACGCTTGGTGATGTCTAAGATGACACATCGGTACCTGCCATGGGGAATCACGACGAGAAGATGGGCGGGATTCGCAGATGTGAACCAGAGGGTGCGAGTGCGGTATGAGTTGTGAGCTTCGACACGTGTCAAAACGTGGAGTCGTCTCAGAAGGACGACCTGTGAGCTGTGAGCTGTGAGCTTCGGTCTGCGAGCTGCGAGCTGTGAGCCTAGCCAACCACCCAATGATTAGCACATGCGCATAACTCAGGGAAGGATGCACTCTACGCACACATAGATGGACCCACATGCAGCAAGGATGCGCATATGCCGTCCGTCACCCTCTCCTCTCACCCGCGCCATCCCTCACTCGCAACATCCCTCACCCTTCCCCTCACTCACGCGATCCCTCACTCACTTTGGATCGAGTTTCTCCAGCGCCCGGCGCAAGTGATGCAAGTGCTCCATTAGACTCCTGAAGTCCTTGTCGCCGCCTGCCATGCACGCAGGTGTACACGCACACACACACCCACCCACCCACGCACGCACGCACGCACGCACGCACGCACGCACGCACGCACGCACGCACGCACGCACGCACGCACGCACGCACGCACGCACGCACGCACGCACGCACGCACGCACGCACGCACGCACGCACGCACGCACGCACACACACACACACAGCAGACACGCCATGCGGGCACAGGACGACTTAGGGATCACAGCGTAGAGCATACCGTAAAGGGGGGAAGAAGGGGGAAGGGGGGACTAGAACGGAGGAGGGGGAGGATGTGGGTGCAACAAAGGCGAGCAGGAAGAGCTGCATGCGCCGCAGAAGAAGCGCGTGGGGGACGCGAGGCACTGGCAGCAGCAGAGGTAGCGGCGGAATCAGAGGCAGCAGCAGAGTGGCAGCGGCACAGAGGCAGCGGCACGGAGGCAGCGGCACAGAGGCAGCGGCAGCAGTTAGAGCAGTGACACTCACAGACGAAGGTCCAGTTGGCGTCCGTGACGTGCTCGTGGAACGCCATGAGGATGGGGATCTTCTCAGCGTTGCCCACCGCCATGTCGTCCTCTGCCCGCGCACCACATTGGGGGGGGGGGGGAGGGGGAAGGTGGGGAAAAGGGGGGAGGAGGAGGGGGAGAGGGGGAAGGGGAGGGAAATGAGAGGGAGGAAATGGAAGGGAGCGGACACAGGGGAGAAGGGCAGGGGGGGAAGGCTAGGGGGTGGAGAGGTATCAAAATGGGCATGATGGTGCTGTGCAGATCCTGAGTGCTGCCTGGTGAGAGCGAGGATGCTGAAGCAAGACAGGGGGAGAGGCCAGGCGAGGAGAGCAGCCGAGCAGCCGCGCAGCCGAGCAGCCGAGCAGCCGAGCAGCCGCGCAGCCGAGCAGCCGAGCAGCCGAGCAGCCGCGCAGCCGAGCAGCCGCACAGCCGTGCAGCCGCGCAGCCGAGCACGAGACCAGACGAGCTGCCGCGCAGCAGAGCAGCAGAGGTTCGGAGAAGCGGTGGTGGAGCTGTGCGTCGATGCAGGCGTGCAGGCATACGCGCTTGCTTGCTTACCGACGGTGTCGAGAGCGCGTAGCACGAGGTAGAAGATGCACACCTGCCGCGGACGCACAAGGACACACGGACACAAGGACACACGGACACAAGGACACACGGACACTCAAGGAGGGGTCAGAAAAGAGCTGTTAGACAATACTACTCCTGCTGTTGCACCTGCGGACACAACTGCTCCACACAGAGTACGTTGTTCTCTCAGCTCTGCTCTGCTCTGCGCTCTATCCTACTCTGGGAATAGCTTCCGCATGGTCTGTACTGTATGCTCCCTCGGCGCTTTGGGCGCTTAGCTGCGAGAATGACTCGCTATTTGAGCCGATGACAGGCCTTACAGCTACCATAACTGGTGACAGGCACTCAAGCTGGCGACAGGCACTCAAGCTGGCGACAGGCACTCAAGCTGGCGACAGGCACTCAAGCTGGCGACAGGCACTCAAGCTGGCGACAGGCACTCAAGCTGGCGACAGGCACTCAAGCTGGCGACAGGCACTCAAGCTGGCGACAGGCACTCAAGCTGGCGACAGGCACTCAAGCTGGCGACAGGCACTCAAGCTGGCGACAGGCACTCAAGCTGGCGACAGGCCCTCAAGCAGGCAATGCCGTGAGCAGTGTCACTAGAGGCGGGGTGGCGTTCTAGAGTGCAGCATGGAGCTGCATTCAACCCAGTGGGGGGAGACACGAGAGGGGGCGAGCGAGGGAGCAAGAGGGGAGGCGCGGGGGATTGCGTGGAGGAGGACGAGGGGGGGTGGGAGGGAGGAGGGGGGGGGTAGTGGGCGGGAGGAGAGGGTAGGGAAGGGAAGGAGGGAGTTAGGGACGGAGGGACGGAGGGGGGGAGGGCGGGAGGGCGGGAAGGAAAGCAAGAAAGAGGGCGGGAAAGAGGGCGGGATGGAGGAGGAGTGAGGGGGGCTGGGGCCCATACCGGGTGGCGGACAGCCTCAGGCAGCTGCTGAATGACAAAGGCGAAGCTCTTGCTGAGGCGGTTGAGCATGCGGTAGCAGAATGCGAGGTCCTCGTCGTCGTACGTCTGTTGCGCCAGCACCTTGGCGAGCTTGTGCACGCGCAGCAGAGGCAGCAGGTCGCCCGGGTGCTGCAACACGTCCGCCAGTAGCCCCATCGCCGCCGCTGTTGCTGCTGGTTGGACCTGGTGCTAGTGGTCGTGGTTCTGAGGCTGGTGCTGCTGCTGCTGCTGCTGCTGCTGCTGCTGCTGCTGCTGCTGCTGCTGCTGCTGCTGCTGCTGCTGCTGCTGCTGCTGCTGCTGCTGCTGCTGCTGCTGCTGCTGCTGCTGCTGCTGCTGCTGCTGCTGCTGGCTGCTGCTGCTGCTGCTGCTGCTGCTGCTGCTTGCTGCTGCTGCTGCTGCTGCTGCTGCTGCTGCTGCTGCTGCTGCTGCTGCTGCTGCTGCTGCTGCTGCTGCTGCTGCTGCTGCTGCTGCTGCTGCTGCTGCTGCTGCTGCTGCTGCTGCTGCTGCTGCTGCTGCTGCTGCTGCTGCTGCTGCTGCTGCTGCTGCTGCTGCTGCTGCTGCTGCTGCTGCTGCTGCTGCTGCTGCTGCTGCTGCTGCTGCTGCTGCTGCTGCTGCTGCTGCTGCTGCTGCTGCTGCTGCTGCTGCTGCTGCTGCTGCTGCTGCTGCTGCTGCTGCTGCTGCTGCTGCTGCTGCTGCTGCTGCTGCTGCTGCTGCTGCTGCTGCTGCTGCTGCTGCTGCTGCTGCTGCTGCTGCTGCTGCTGCTGCTGCTGCTGTGCTGCTGCTGCTGCTGCTGCTGCTGCTGCTGCTGCTGCTGCTGCTGCTGCTGCTGCTGCTGCTGCTGCTGCTGCTGCTGCTGCTGCTGCTGCTGCTGCTGCTGCTGCTGCTGCTGCTGCTGCTGCTGCTGATGGTTGGAGCAGAGCAAGCTGCTGTCTTGCTGTCTCCGAGTTAGGCTGGACGGTCACTCTCTGATCTCAATCCCAGGTACTGCTACTGGTAGGCGTAGGGGTTAGCTGCTGACTCGAAGGAAATACACACGCACAGGCACAGCCAGCCTGCCGGGATAAGCAAGAGGCGCCCCTAGAATACAGCAGCAGACAGAATCCAGGAAAGCTTTGGGAGTAAAGCGAGGCCAGAGAGCAGCAGAATACTCCTGGAATACGCCTGGGAGACCCCTGGGAGGTGTGCCTTGTAAAGAAGTAACGGAGTACGTGCGTGTGACAGCAGAGCCTGTGCTGAGGAATGAGGCGGAAGGAGTCTCACTGGGTGTCTCACAACTTACATTACATTACACCTAGCAGGCAGAGAGCAACCAGCTCAGACTCGGACAGTGGGGTGGAGTGCGGGGTGAACTCAGGGGGTGTCCAAAGTGAATTTCGACATCCGACGACATCCGTTGGGGGATGTCGCGGGATTTCGACCATCGATTCTCTCCGATCTAAGGGTCCGGCAGTTCCCCCGGCCAGTGGGGCGGGGGGTGATCAGTGAGTGGTTGGTTCCCCCTGCTGTGCGGAAAGGAAAAGGAGGATCGTCAGCGCAGAGGCATAAGAGGAGGAGGAAGCGGAGGAGGTTTCGTCAGCGAGGAAAGGTTGCTTTTCTGCCTGTCTCGGGCTGACCAGGGGGCTGGGTGGCTGGGGGGCGATGGGCGGAAATGGGAGATGGTCTCAGGGGAAGCTCTCTCACCCGGGGAATCTCAGGGCATGGTGCGTGCAACGCACCGCTGTACTGCACACCCCACATGACCACAGCCCGTCGCGAATCGAAGCGGAGCATGGTCTTGGGTCGCACCGCACACGCGCAAGACGGTCGGTCTCAGTCGGTGGCGCCGCGGGAAACTACGCTACTGTACTGTACAGTATTTCTGTACTGCACTTCCCGTACTAGCCACCTCACCTCACCTTACCGCACCCTACCTCACCTTACCGTGTGTGTGCAACTCCTTTTTGAGCGCACCGTCACCTAGGTGTCAAGGGTGGTGGAGATGAGATAGGGTGGTGGTCCAAGGGTTGGTTTGGGGTTGGTGGAGGTGGTAGGGCTGGTGGGAGGGAGTGGCTCAAGCCGCCTGTTGTCAGAGACCAACCAGAGGGAGCGGCCATCACTGATTGATTCGCATCATTGATTCACTGGCTCTGGCTGGTGGGTCGACGGAGCCATCGTGGATCCCAGATGGGGAACATCCCCCTCCCAGACACCACCTTGCGTTGCTGGCAGAGGGACCACCCGGGTCCAGGATGGGGACTCTGCCTGCCAGCTCACGTTGGGCCAACGCATCCTCTCGTCGTAGGCAAGGCAGAGTTCCTCCGAGGACGCGTAGGGTCATGGATCACGACTTATCCGTGCTCTCCATGCCATCCATAATCCAAGGTCCATGGTCCATGGTGGTCCAGGGTCCAGGGAAGAATCATGGCACGGATCATGTCATGTCACATGTGTGAGAGGCTCGGTTCTCCCAAACCACGCCAAGTCGTAATAAAGGCAAGCTCGTAAGGCCTGGCTGCTTCGACTGAGGATGTGGAGGGCTTAAAGCGACCGTGACGGAAGGTGACGGACGGTGACGATGTTCTGTGCTGTATCTCTAGTGGAACAGAGATCTGCTCTGCGGCATTATTACTGAGACCAGTACTGATGTGTCGATGTTAGTGTTGAGGGAATGACGCGCCTCAGGAAATTCGCGCTTTCAATTCCCATTGTCATGGGCAGTTACCTGAACCCCGCCGAGCGCGTTTCCGATTTCCACTGTCAGTATTTTTCCGGTATTGGTTTATGGGGGTTTTTGAGACACATCTGGGTCAGGTGTCAAAATTTCTCCAGCTGGGTATTTTGTCCTTTTGATAGGAACAAAACATTCGGGATACCAAATCTTGCTGTTTCTTCGCAGCTCGCCAATTAGGCTCGCGGCAATTCCGTGCCCGTTTCATTGCCACAAAACGGGTTTTTTTTTTGCCGACAGTAAATTAGGGCAACGGGCAAAAAATAGAACCCATACATACTTGGCATGCCATTCGGGATGGGATCAACCCCAAACTCGCGAGAGGTCCACGAATTTCGGGTTGATGCCATCCCGAATGGATGGCATGCCCCACCCCCTATGGAATTTAGTTTTTCTCTTGTCAAAAACTGCCGAACTACGTTTGTCGATATTTTCGGTAGCTTTAACGATCCGACAATATATAACAATGAGTGTAAAAGGTTCCACCAAGACGCTGCGTTTGTGTCCATGCGAAACGCAAATTTGGCGGTCTCGTTTGATAGTTGCTCGGATGCGTCCAAAATCTACACCGCGTGAGAACTGTGCATTTGTTGCCAAGACGCGATAATTTTACCGGTTGTTTGGGCAGCCATAATTTTAAAAGTACATGGCACAACCAGCGTGAAAACTGTTTTACGTGACAAAATAACTGACATAGGTAATCGTAAAAGCGCTCGTCAGGATTCAGGTAACTGCCCATGACCACGGGAATTGGAAACACATCATTCCCTCTATTGATGTTGCTCTTGCTCACAATGCGCCCTCCACGACCGATCACCCAGACCACGACACGACAAAGGTATAAATTTGTTCGACATGGGGGGGGGTGGGGGGGGTGAGCGGGGGGGAGGGGGGGGGTGGAGGGGGTGGGGGGGTGTGGGGGGGTGTTTGGAGGGGGAAGAGAGAATGGGGAGGAGATCAGGGGAAGGGGGGATGGGGAAGGGGGAAGGCGTAATCTCCTGGCACACGTTTGCAGCCATGGCTACTAGCCGTTAGGCCAGGCCTAGTGGAGATCGGATGGATCTGTGACTGACAATGGCCCAATTCTAATAGGGAATTACCAGAAACCCTCAAAATATGCCCTCAAGCCAGTCACAACACTTCTTTCCGATGCCCGACACGAGTTTAGGGTTGATGTTCCGAAGTACAACCAGGTTCCCTCTGGGGTTTATATATTTGGGCTGCCCAGAAACGATTTGACTGGCTTGAGTACAAGTGCAAACGGGCTCTGGCATAATTTGAGTGTAGGCGAAGGTGTCCCGTGACTGACAATGGTCCAATTCTAATGCCATGCAGATGTGTTTGGCAACTAGGCTAGGCAGTGGCCGTGGCTGGGGAAAATTGCTGCCGCCAACTGTCTACGAAACTTTTCATACTTTCGTGGACAGACTCTACTTTCATGAACACCACATCGAAGTTTTGTTTCTCCCGTGGACTCCGTCAAAACTTTCGTGGACTCCCGGCTTACTTCCATGGACACACGCATATTCGCAGTTAAAAAATGAGTAAACAGCGATGTACAAGTGATTACGGGCACAAAAATCAAAATACTCCAGACTATCTCTCCGTCGCAAGTAATCGCGAGCTACAGTATCGGTAACCGGTTCTGAAACAGAATCTCGGAGCTTTTCTAGGAAGAGTTTGCAGCCGCACTCAAATATGCAGTGAACTTTCAAAAACTTAGTGTATTAGCGTCCGCGTGATAAAAACACTTTTCATGCAAATCAGAGCTACTCAGAAAAAATCATAAAAATATTTTTATTATGACTTTTCGGAGTAGCTCTGATTTGAACAAAAAGTGTTTTTATCACGCGGACGCTAATACATCAATACATCGAGCCATCATCAATCAGCAGTTTTTGTCTCCTTCATAATGCATTATTTCATTATTAGAATTCTATGAACAAAAAATTAGCACCTAAGAAATATATTTTTCAGAATCACTTATTCTTATTTGCATTAGTATGTTTCTTGTTAAAACATAAAAATTATTCCCAAAATTTTGAATCTAAATTACTTGTGTCATTTTCTCATCTATTATTATTATTTTAATATGGATAAAAAATCAAGACATAAAAACTTCCATTTATACAGCCATGTTTACCAAACTTTACTGGTATTAATGTAATTCAAATATTAGTTGAAATATTTGGAAATGCCAGAACTAAGTGTATTCCCGATTCTTGGTGGTAAGAAATTCCAAACCGTTATCTTGGGACTAATATGATTTTTACTGAGCTATAATATCTATCTTTATTCTACAACGTGAATATTTTGTAGCGATATTTCGCCTACTCGATCGGCTGCACTTGTCGTTCAGCAAAAACCATTTTTTCAGTCGTTCAAATGAATTGTGAGGATCGCTTCAGAGTTTCGTTAAACACGTGAAACAGCTAGCGGACTTGGTGGCGTGCAGTTACTGTAGCTTGCGACTATTCGCGAGGGACTTGATTACGCCATAATTTTGTTTTTTCCTCCCGTCAGCATCTGTACAGTTCTTTTTTTTGTTTCAAATTCGTGTGTGTCCATGGAAGTAAGCCTGGAGTCCACGAAAGTATTGACGGAGTCCACGTGAGAAGCGAAAGTTCGATGTGGTGTCCATGAAAGTAGGGCCTGTCCATGAAAGTAGGAAAAGTTTCGTGGACAATCCGCTGCAGCAATTCTCCCCCGTGGCTCGCTGGTGCTGTACACGTGTACGCGGGGTCTGAGTTCCTGATCATGCATCCAGTGGTTGGCATATCGCATCGCAGCATACAGTACATACGGATGCGGCGGTCAGCGCCCCGATGACTGACTGGCAGTACAGTCCTGGATACTCGACACTTATGCGGGGCGGAGATGCCAGCAGGACACTACAGTAAACGGTCAGGGCTCGGAGCGGGGAACGGGAGCACCGTGGTCTGGTGTGGAATCTGTCTGAACCAAGCGACATCGAAGGGAAACAGGGAGGCAGGCAGCCGAACAGAGAGGAAGGGCAGAGATGTATGGTTTGGTCTGGGATTTTCCATATTTCAGGCTGGGTTCGATCAGTAATTTTCGCCATGGGCAGGAGTGTCTGGCTTTCCTCAGGTGGGTTAGATAGGGTGGGAAAGAATGTCCACGCTCAGTATTAGGAGCCCTGTTAACGCGTAGGGTCAGCGAAACTATATAATTCATCAGGAATAAAGAATTCGTAACATGTTTTATTAGTCTGTAAATGCGGGGGAAAAGTTTCACATATGGTTGGCGTAACCCCCGCCCGGTTTGGGAAGATTTTCCACTCGTGCCAACTCGTGAATGATAAAGAAATTGGGCAGGCGCGAGCGGGAAATCTTCCCGAACAGAGTGGGGATTACGTATAGTGGACATTTGTCGAACAATTTTCCCCGCACCCACTAGTTATTTGTGCAACCCGACTAATAAAATGCGTTCCGAATTCACTTATTCCGATTACATATACCGTATCCACCTGGATAGAAACCCTCTTCGGAGGTTATGACCCTCAGTCCTTTAATAATCTAATGGGGCTTATGTGTGTTACTTGATTATAAGCCCCTCCTCCTCCAGAGAGTAGTGCACCTTCTAAGCCTCTTTTTCGTGAATAAGAGTTATGTATTTTATAGAAAGTCATCAGGTAGATTTTGCCGAGTGTGCTTGCCCTCATTCCGCAGGGCCGATATTTCAAGGGTAATTATCCAAAATAAAATAAAAAAACATTAAGAGTAACTTTTAGCTTGATTTCAGAATTTGACGGATATTTCCATCCGAGAACCCGGAATCTGTACAAGTGCGTGAGGGGAGTTTTCCGGACGAAACAGAATTCTCGGAGGGGGCATTCCAGACAACCCTGTCTCTGGGAATGCTGCCCCCCCCTCCCCTCCCCTTCCTCCTGCCTTGGATTCGATGTCCTCTTGGGCGCAAAAATTTCTAGGTCCTCACAGACAAAGATATAACTCCCCCTACCATCCCGACAAGCAATTTTTTTCTTAGCCATTCAGATACATTCGGTACATTCAGATACATTCGACCCACACACCCCTCGCCATATGAAGTCCCTCATAGACAAAGACATCCCTTCTACACCACTAGCTCCTTCACTGGCACACACGTACCTCGCACACCCTAAGTAACTCGGCCTTCACTGAGGCCAGTGCGACTCTGTCGGGAGTAGCAAAGATAAGATCGTCTACGTACACTAGAATATAGAACGGTGACTGACCCGTGCGAACAAAGAGAGAGGGGTCAGCAGAGAACGGAAAGAACTGTAGCTCAGCAAGAGTGATGCGAAGCGTGCCGTGCCACTAACAGGGTGCCTGACGAAGGCCGTAGACAGGACGGTGCACGCTCCATTGGGTCCCAGGTGGGAAGGACCCAGCGAAGCCTAAAGGGCGCCGGAGGTAGATCTGCTCGTGCAGACTACCCTGCAGGAACGCTGTGAAGAAGTCGAGCGAGTGAAGCTCGTAGTCATGCTGTGCGGCTATGTGAAGAAGGACCCGAAGAGTAGTCATCTTCGGGGTCGGGGAGAAGGTCTGGAAGAAGTCCACTCCCTCACGCTGACTGAAGCCTCTAGCCACGTAACGCGCCTTGAACTTCGACGACTCTCCAGGTGCGCGCTTCACCTGTAGATCCACATGCCATCGACTACGTTCGCCCCAGGCGGGGGAACTGCGTTGACGTAGGTACCAGTGGATCTGTAGGATGCCATCTCAGTCTTCATGGCCTGTATCCACTGGGCTGCCTAGGGCCCCGACACCGTCTCAGCGTAAGAGCGCGGAACAGGGATGTCGAGAGCGTCTGGGCTGCCCTCTGGGGATACGAGCATGGAGCAGAGATGGGGAACAGCGGTAGCAAGGTAGGCCAACTCGTACTGCCTATCCTCTAGCACGTCATTGCCAAGGGCAGGTGCACCCTCGACGGACGGAGGATGGACAATACCAGAGACCAGAGCGGCAGCGTAGTCAAGGCGGTGGCTAGCAGCAAAGTCAGTGACAGTGGCGCCAGCGTGGAGACAAACTCAGGAGGAGCAGTAGGGTCAGTGACAAGCGACGCAAGAAGGCGTGACATGAATGGACGAGCAGTGCGAACAGCGTCGGAGTAAGGAGGGGGGGACGACGGTAGCGATGACGGTGGAGGCAACGGGAGGACTGTGAGGGGAGGAGCACGCGAACGAAGAAGCATAGGGTGGACACTAGGACAGGGAGAGACAGGACGAGCACCAGAGGGGCGACGAATTCAGTGGGGAAGAACTGGGGACCGGGGACGAGGGGGGACCGGGGACAGGTCAGGGGACGGAGGGGAGCGTGGGGGGAAACGAGCTGGAGAGGAGTCCGGAGGAGGAAACAACGGGCCGTAAACAGGGTCACGCACCGGAGGGGGAACGGGCGGGCTGACAGGGGAACCTGGAGTAAGACCAAGGAGACGAAGGGCAGACTGCGGCGGCTACTGCTGCGGCGGCTGCACCTGCTGTTGCTGCTGCCTGCCCGCTCCAGGACCTCCAGTGGCACCCCAGCTGCCACCTGCACGCCGCGAAACAGCACCCCCAAGACTAGCACCCTCGGTCTTACCACCTACAGAACCAGCACCCCTTGAGTCAGCAACCCCAGAACTCGCACCCCCAGAACCAGCACCCCCAGAGCCGACTGCTCCCTGCTGCTGCTACAGCGGCCGTGAAGTCTGCTGCGGCGACGGCTGTTGCTCCTGAGGCAAGGGAGCAGGCGGCTGAGGGGCCTGGGGGGCGAGGATGGGGGAGGCGCCACAGGGACAGTAGGCGCACCCCCAGCAGCTGGGCCCCCAGAGTTAGCCGACTCCCCCACAAGGGGAACCGAGGGGAACTGAGTGGTGTGGGAGACACCAGACTTGGCCGGGCGGGGCGTGAGGGGTGCGGCAGGGGGGGCAGGGACAAGGAAGAGAGGAGGAGGAGGCACAAGAGAGCTGCGGTGCGGGAAGCGTCGGTAGTAGGGGAGCTTCTCGTCGAAGGTGACGTTGCGAGAGTGGTAAAAACGGTGGTGGGAGGGGTGGTAGAACAGCCAGTCAGAGGCGTCAAGCGGGAACCCCATGAAGACACAAGGAATAGTGCGGGCTGAGTGCTTGTCTGCGGTAGTATCGCAGGCGTGAGCAAGGCTGCCCCAGACGTGGAACGCAGATGTGTCACCAGGAGACCCGGTGCAGAGGAGGGTCGGTGAAACCTGTGGTCGCTGGGAGCGCGACCACAGGTTAAGCTGGTGAGTAGCGTAGCGCACAACGAACGGCCACAGAAAATGGGGTGCACCGGCGTGGACCATGGAGGTGCGAGCCACCTCCATGATCAGGCCAATGTGTCACTCGGCAACCTCATTCTGCTGTGGGGAGTCTGACAGTGTGTACATCTGGCGGATGCCCTCCGCACGATAGAACCGTCCTAGAGAGCCAGAGGCAAACTCGCCACCGCGGTCAGAGTGTAAGCAACCTACAGACAGTCGGTGGGCGGTGCGAACAGTGAGAAGCCACGAGAGGAGAACGGTCAGCGCGTC